AAAACCAGGGGGGGTGGTCTAACTCCTAAGGGAAAAATCACAAGGCCGGCCCACTTTGTCTTTTAGAGTTATTGGGTAGTACCTTCAATCTGGCAAAGTTTCATCCAAAAAAGAGAGATAGCATGTATCACCCCTGCCTGGTCCTCTGGTAAACTTGGTCTTAATTCTTCCTTTCGCGTGGGTTGTCAATGTGATTTTTGGAAGATTTATCGATTGCCAGTGTACTCCCTAGTGTTGTTTTCTGGCCGGTAACTTAACATCTACACTCGGTAATATTTCGACAGGCTTCAAAGAAATCGGAGGTCAAATTTGAGGTCAAATGCTGATCAGAAGGGTAGGGGAAGAAGCTGCCGATCCCGCAATCTTTAGTAGACTAGTATTCACCGGAGAGCGGTAGAGGAGAGGCTAATGGATGAATCGTACGAAGATAATTAAGGTTTGATTTGTGAATGGCCTGAGCGAAGGAGTGGATCTGTGTATACATCTCAAAACAAAATACATCTGGACAGTAACCAATGAAAACGCTACTACAAAATCTAAACGAATATAAGGCTTCTACACATTGGATGATTACTCTAGGTTTTAGGTAACAGATACTACCTCCAACAAAGAGATCATGTCGTACCAAAGAGGTCGCACGGACGGCATACCTTAGATTTTCAAAATTTTATTTGACTCTGAACCCTATGTACAGATTATTTTCAAACTTTGCCAAAAGTAATGTCATGTCATGTCATGTAATGAGATGAGATGAGATGAGATGAGATGAGATGAGATGAGATGAGATGAGATGAGATGAGATGTGATGTGATGTGATGTGATGTGATGTGATGTGATGTGATGTGATATGATGTGATGTATTAGAAAACAGTCCAAAGAAAATACGTGCGCTGATTGGTTAAAAATCGTGTTATTATAACTCGATGGAAACAGAGAACTAGCACGAGTTGTTGACGTAATGATGGCGCGAGCAAAGAGAATTTACATTTTGATAATTAAAGTTAACAAGTTGTTTTCCTTTTTTGCGTCGCGCTGTTTTCTAAAAGAAATAGAAAACATGTTCTCCCTAATTCTATCGAGTTACAGAAACACTCTTGAAAGTTTGGGAGAACTCGAAAAAGCACAGCATTTCTCGTTCTCCCAAACTTCCACTCGTGTTTCTATAACTCGATAGGAACACGGTACATGTTTTCTATTTCTTAAACGTAATGTTATGTAATGTAATGCAATGCAATGTAATGCAATGCGATGTAATGCAATGTTATGTAATGTAATGTAATATAATATGTTCGGCACTGTGCTGTTTTTGAATTAGAAGCCCCTAAAGCTGTAATTAAGGGTGTTTTTAGCAGTTCATACTATTGCTATGGTAACCTAAAATCCAGTTTCATGCGCAAATTTTGACAGAATTCAAACGCCACTAATATAATTTTATCAACAGGTTTGTCCGTCAATTCACAAGTTATGTAATTTTGTGTTTTAATTACCACTTACGCTAATTATGACAGACACTTACTTTTACCATTATCATACGTGGCACAAAGAATCTTTTACTTCCTCCTCAAACAGTCTCGGTTTTGCTTTCCAACTTCTTTGTGGTGTACTTCTTTCTGTTTAATTCTCAAATTTTAAGTCAGTTATCACATGCAATACTTCATCTGCATATGAGACAATAGAAGGATGTATATTAAGAGAAAAACTGTTGGTAGAAATTAAACTTCATTTTGTTCAGTGAAAATTTAGTGTTTTGTGAAGTACGAAATGCTTGGCACGTTGCGCACTTGGCGCAAATTGAAAAGAATCTGAGTTCCTGATATCTACCCGATATCAGTGAATTCGAACCCATGACCTGGCAAATATTGGCCAGCCATTTGTTTTAATATTTTGTTTTATTGTGTTGTTTTTTTTCTGTTTTGCAAAAAAAAAAAAAAGAAAGAAAGAAAGAAAATGTAGACGAATAGACCTTATCACGGTTTTCGACGCCATCTTGACGAGTGGGCAAAGCGGTCAGAAATTACAGTGTTTGCATGGGAATCCGGTGGCAAATAACGTTTTCCAAAATTGAGTTTTACGCAGTTTGTGAATCAAAGCGTAGAAATACTAGGTAGAAGATTGTATTCACCAAGTTTGAAAGATGTAGCTTGGCTAGAAGCCCGGGGAAAGGGAGATACTTCCAGAAAAGTTGGGTGGGGGTGTGTGGCCCACTTCCCAAAACCCTTACCCTATTTATGACCAAAATCTGCGATTTTTGCTAAGCTATTTATGACCTGGCCAAAAATTTTATACGCTGTTTATGACCGTTGCGGCTAGCACAGTTGCCCTAAACATAAATTATGAAGGGTTTTTGTTGACGGTCTTATTGTTAATGATGAAAAAGTAGCTTCTTTTAAGAAACATACCCAATTCTAGACCCAGTACTAAAACCATACCCTATTTAAGGCCAATTTATGACCAAAACGGCTGAAAAACCCTACCCGTTGGGTCCGCACGTACCTATATAGCCCGTATAAGGTAGTACCCCCGGGGGGGAGGGGGGGCCAGAGGACGCTCAGTTAATTTTTATCATTTTCCATACATTTGGCTGTAATTTTTAAGGGATGACGTTTGGTGTGACGTCATCGCTTTATGCTGGCGTGCTGAATTCCTTTGGATAGTGATTTCGTCGCGCTTATGTCCGTCGCGCTTTTGTCGCGCAATTTTTATCCCTCTGTGGAAGCGAAATGTACTCTGGGAGTAGGTTCAGCGGGGTGCCTTTAATTCTAGTTTTTAAAGAGGATTTAGGGGTGGATTTTGGTGTATACAGTATCGGATAAATTTGAGTTCACGGGCAAACTCATAATAAGAACATATCCTCCATACATAC